AGAAGCGGATCACAAAATTAAAGACCTCTTTATTTTATTTATTGAAACATTTATACCCTGCCTTTCCTCCTGGCACAAGACACTAAATACAGTAGAATACGTATGAGAAATGATGCACTAAAGCAGGATTACAAGATCAGAAAACAACACAATGAAAACAGTGCAATACATATATCGAAAAATGCAATTAAAGCTGCCTAAAACTCCGACAGCCCTGTTCCTCCTTACCTTTGCTCCAGAATCAACTTATTGCTCAGTCTTCTAGTCTCTGAGCTTCTGTTGATGTCAGAGCCAGGAAGCGGTTCATCACAGATAAAGTTCCAAGACAGAACATTCCCGTCGCTCAGTGTCAGATGAAGGCTGAGCGACATATGCAGTAGAATGAGGTGGAAGAAAGGTCTGTACCATTTCAGACTGCATGAGGAATCATTGAATTCTCTCATACATTTTTATAAGTCCATGCAAAGTAGAAAGCTAGCACCACAGGGAGCAAACTATTCATGCAAAATATTCTGGTCTTATTAGGGCTGCAATAGAGATGAGCAGGGAGAGGGCCACGTGTCTACCTATTAATGTGGGGCCAGAAAGTATCTATTTGGTTTAACAGAAGACAGAGAGCGTAGGTGAGGGGAGCTAAACCCTGCCTCCTCTCTTTCCTTATCTCTCTGTATTCTGTTGCTTTCAGCATTTCTCTTTCAGCCCGGCTTACTTCTGGTTATCAGAGCCAGGCTGGGAGAAAAATTCCTTGGACTGCAGATCACAGCAAGGTAAGGTGTGAGAAGTGGCAGGGCTCAGTCACCCTTAACCCGTGTGCTCCAATTTGGCTTGAAAAAGAAATGGACCCCTCCCAGCACACGTAGCACGTCTGATTGGGTGAAAACAGGACTAAATACACGTGGATCCCCCCCTCCCTGTTTTGACTCTTTCTCGGCTGCTTCTGTAAAGCTGCTTTTTCATTTTGTGTGCTGCAAGTTTCCAACTTTCTCCTGTCTTGTTTCCTCTGCAACAGACTCTCTGGTTTGACCTGCATCAACGACTGTCAGACAGCGAAAACACAGCCTGCGCGGTGAGTACTCTCCAAACGCCCCATCTGTCTCTACAGACAGAATATATTTGCATATGCAAATCAGAACCAGGAGGGGCAGGGTTGTGTTTGTTTGTTTTTCCCTTGTGCCTTCGTTTCTGCCACCATCTGCTGGAAAAGCAGCTCGAAAGGTCATCTCTCCTTTGAGTAAAGCAGGCGGAAAGCTTAATCAGACTCCCCTTTGTCCGTCCCATGCTGTCCCCTCTTCCCAACATGAAACGCTACCTCAGCCATATGGTCAAACCCAAGCCTGTGAGAAAAAAAGCTGCTGGCAGTGGAGTGAGAGATTTTTCGTTCATCCTTGTTTTCAGGGCTGATTCTCACATCTCCAGACAGGCAGGCAGACACACACACTCATTTGCAGATCTATAGAACAGAAAGCTGGCATCTAAATCCAGAGATGTTAATATATTTCTCTATATTCTGGATCTGATCTGTCTGTCTGGTGCATTTTTATCCCACCTTTCCTCTAAGGAGCTCACAGCCACATACTTGTCTCTTTCTTCCTCATTTTGTCTTCACAATAACCCTGGAAGGTAGGCTGGAAGGGAGAAAGTAATCAGTTCAAGGTCACCCAGTGAGCTTCAGGACAGAGGCGGGATTTGAACCTGGGTCTCCCAGATCCTAGTCCAGCACCGCAACCATTTCATCACTTCAGGAAAACCTTTTGCAAAATGCGTCCCCTCCATCCCATTTCATGTAGCCCTACTTAGGCGGGATAGTTGTAACTCAGCATGCTTCAGCCACATTTGCATGGGTGTGGGAGGTGAGAAGAGAGAGTCCTGGCGAACCCAGAGGAAATCGGCCTCCTGATCCCTTTTGTCCAATGCCTCCTTCACTGCAGTCCGGGTCCCAGGTGGCTTTTGGCTCCCACCTTCCCCAGCACCACATTTTCAACAACCAAAAGGGCTCTCTTCCTCTACTTTTTGCCCACAGAAAAGCCAGTAGGATACAGCCCAGTGATTGTTCTTCTTCTTAAAGATCTACTAACAAAAAAATGTCCTGTAATACATTAGCAGGTTTTGCAGTCCCAAAGGAAACTGAGCTACAGAACGCAAAACGGCAAGCTGTGCCCTACATGGTGCCTAAATGTTCTTGTATCCTCGTTACATGCGTGCACATGAGAATCAGGATGTAAACATATCACAGAGCCAACCTTTAGTAAGTTCTGGCAAGGGAGAGAGGGATGAAATCTGAAACGTGCTACTTGCAGTGCAAGTGGGTACATTCTAATTAAAAAGGTATCTACGGCTGCAGTCACACCGAGGATTAGCCACGCTACAGAGACGGAAGATAGGCGGATTTTACGGGCGCGATCACAGTGCCACATCTGGGAAGCGTAGAGCTCCTGTGCCGAACCCGAGGCTTCCTGCCGAAGATGCGGGGTAAAAAACTAGTATCTCCGAGGTACTAGTTTCCAGAAACCGCGGGGCAAGGGCGGGCGCCTGATCGCGTTTCCAGTGGAATCCTGTGGCATCCGGCGCCCGCCCATGTCCGGTCGCAAACAGGTTTCCCGCACCCCCAAGTCTCCACAGGATGCGCACAAGCGCCCAACGGTGCATGCGCACAAAGAGGCCCCCTCCCACTGCAGCCAGGCTTGCCGCCTCTGGAGGGTCGCTATGGCCACTGTCGCGCAGGTGGTTAGAGCGGCTGTGACAAGGGGGCCCACCTCCCCCTCCATTGGCTATGACTCGGAGCTCTGTTGGGGTCCGGAAGCATCTGTCGCCCTCTCCGGTAAGCCCACCACCCACCTTCAGATGTGCAGATACGATTGCTCAGTCATGCGTATGCACAAACTTCAGTTTTAAAAAAATAATCCATCCCGTTTGCCCCGGAAGCAGCGCCTAGCAATTGCTGGTATGATTGCACCGCACCGCTTCTTTGCCACGCTGCAGGATCATCGTGTAATCGGCACCTGCCCCCTAACCACGGGACCTCGAAGGGACGTCTGATCGTGCAACCGCGTGTTATTTTCCTCCGGGGTAACAGCCATGCTTCCCCCCCCCCCCGCATTTTCCGGCCCATATGACCGGGGCCTACGAAAGGCAAGGAATGTGATTTCTGATGTAGTAGGAAAGACAAGCTGTTCCTGGTTGGTTGGTTTTTTAAAAGGACCGCTGGAAATGGAATGTATAAAATATGACTGAGGGGTGCTTAAATTGCTGGACTAGAATCTAGGAGATCCAGGTTTGAATCCCTACTCCGCCTTGGCAGGTTTCCATGTTACCTTGGGACCATCACCCTCTCTCAGCCTAACCTAATTCACAGGCTTCTTGTAAGGATGAAATGGAGGAGAGGAGAACAATGTAAGCCGCTTTGGGTCCCCGGTGGGGGGAAAGGCAGGCCACAAAGAGAGTAGATAAATAAACTATTTGGTAACCTCATATGTGATCTCTGTGGCTAGATTATACCACTGCAGACAGCGGGTGGCAGACAGGGTGAATATTTGTGCTGTTTTTCTACTGGAGGAAGGGTGCTTAACCTGAGGGAACATTAAAAATACTGCTTTGAATTAAAAAGCAACAACAAATCTTTCTGCACTTCCAAAACTAACGTACAAGGGTAAAGTCAAGGTGAGACCATCTCTCTGATAGGCTATATAATTTTGTAGTACAGGGAGAGCTTTATAAGAGGCGGGGGAACAGTCTATTATTCAGACTAGGGGTAAAGGTAAAGGTTTCCCTTGCTCGAAAGCCAGTCGAATCCGACTCTAGGGATGCGGTGCTCATCTCCGTTTCCAAGCCGAAGAGCCAGCGCGGTCCAAAGACATTTCCATGGTCATGTGGCCGGCATGACTAGATGCCGAGGCGCACAGAACGCTGTTACCTTCCCACCTAAGTGGTACCTATTTATCTACTTACAATTTCTTGCTTTCGAACTGCTAGGTTGGCAGGAGCTGGGACCAGAGACGGGAGCTCACTCCGTCATTCAACACTCGGGTCTTGAACTGCTGAACTACTGACCTTCTGGTCTGCAGTTCAGCGTCTTAACCACTTGAGCCACCATTATTCAGACTACCCACCTGCAATCTGAAAGTGGTACATTCCAGGAACAGATCAGCCTTGCTTGTCCCAGAATATGGATTGCCTTGGCACAACACTATATAGATATACAGAAAGTACTACAGCATGACAAATACAAATAAATCACTTCGTATTCTATAAAGGAATTCTTACCGTCTCTACAATGAAGGGTTTTTTCCTTCCTCTGTATATAGCACTCTTCTTAACAAGTTGAAAATGGTTGATTTTTATTTAGATGCATTAGAAAAAATGTTAGAAGGAGGAGGAGGAGATTGGATTTATACCCTGTCCTTCACTTGGAGTCTCAGAGCAGCTTACAAACTCCTTTCCCTTCCCCTCCCCACAACAGACAGTTCTTGTCAGAACTATGGCTTGCCCAAGGTCATCCAGCAGCTGCAAGCAGAGGACTGAGGAATCAAACCTGGTTCTCCCAGATTAGAGTCCGCTCACTTAACCACTTCACCAAACTCTTGGGACTGTGATTTCGCTGTCATCTTGGAGCTTCTCTGAGAAGGACATGGTGACAGAGTCAGACAAGACCAGGTCTTGAATTAACCTAAGAGCTGTGGTGATTAGAGTGGGATCTGTGAGAACTGGTTTCAGATCCCTGCTCTGCCATGGAAGCTCACTGGGAGACCTTGGGCCTGTCATGCACTTTCATCCTGGCCTACCTCACAAGGTTATTATGAGCATGAAATGGAGATGGGGGAAATGATGTTGTAAGCCACTTTGGGTCCCCACTAAGGAGGAAAGTGGAATATATATGAAGCAGATAAATAAACATAGGGTGATTCTGCTTCTAGCATTTGCTCCACATTTTCTGAACTGGGAAGAAAAAGTGCAGCTCAAAACTACATCCAGCTATCTTGGGCAACACCGTACTGACTGCAGAGTCACCCCTGAATGGCTATAAAACAGCCATAAATCTGTGCGGAAAGTACAATTAAATCCGATGATCAAAGAACTCGAAAGTGGCATGGAATGTGAATAAATCCCGATAACCAAAGGGAGTGAAAACCAGCATGCAGTGCAGAGGAGAATTTCTGTTCCAACGTGGGTTTCGTAAAACAACAGAGGGAAAAGCCAATGCAGAATCAGCCAAAGCTGACCATTTGTAGAAATCCAAAGATGCAGGGCAAGCCCTACTGTTTCCAACAGTTCCTCAAGTCCTGCTTGTTTGATCCGTGATAAAAGTAAAATCAAGGAAAACCAGAGCAGATTTTTAATATTTCCTTTTTTTGCGCCACCAAAGGGGATTTATTTCTTTCAGCCTCATTTGGTGCAAGAAATTAAAAAAATGAAAAACAAACTTTTTGTCACAGAATGGGCTAATTTTTAAGAGGTTTGGTTTGTCGTGTTCCTGTATCACAGAAGCGCACAACAGGGCTCTTAGGAATATTGAAACAAGCAAAGTAATGAACCCCTTCAAAAGAAACTCTTTGCTGAAAAACTAAAAAAAAGTCTACAAAGCTGCTGTTCAGTGCACAAATGACTAGTTTCGAAGGTATTTCTATTAACCTTTTTTATTTCTTTTTCTGCAAGACATGGGTTCTCCTGCAATCTGTGAATATTGAGGTCACAAAAGAGTGTACCTGTGGAATGGTTAAAAAAAAAATCCCCAAATGTTCACATTTCTTGCAAACACTGGTGAGAAATTTGGGGGGGGAAACCAAAAAGTACCAGCCCCTCTCAAACTGCTTATCACATCTCTCGTAGATTAGGTTTCGATCCGAAAAGTAGTGGGGGGGGGAGACCAAAGTTCTGTTACTAAATCCACTCTGATAGGATTTTTGCAACCATCCCAAAGGTATTACAAACTGAGCCTTCTTTCCCCATGGCAATAGTATTTTTTTTTTAAGGTCCAGCTTTGGAATGCGCTCTGAGGTTGTCTTTATTGGCCGTGCTGCTGTTTGCTTCCAGACATGAGCGGGGTTAAGCAGAGAGATTGCTTTTCTAATCAAATCCTGGCGCTTGTGATTAGAAAAGCAACTGGAGTATGAAAAACGGGGCCTCAAAGTGACTTGCCATCACACTACAGAAAGGGTCCCTGCTCCTTTCCCTTGGCGTCTCATCTGGAAATGGGCAAATGGGTACTTAGATTTCACAGGGAAGTCTTGAAATGCATTTGCCATGCTTTTGCAAAAGGGGAAAGTAGCTTTCTAGAACCCAGCTGCAAAGACTGACTTCTCATTTGTTCCCCTTCACCGCTGCTTGGCATTAAGGGGTGGTCTCTGTGTTTCTTTCCACTTCATGGCCTGCTGCTGGTGGAAGGTGCCATCAAATCGCAGCTGATTTATGGCAACTTCATAGCGTTTTCAAGGCAAGAGATGAACAAAAGCAGCTTGCCATTGCCTGCCTCTGTGTAGCAACCCTGGACTTCCTTGGTGGTCTCCCATTCAAGTACTAACCCGGGCCAACCCAGCTTAATTTCTGACATTGGATGCGATTGGGCTAGCCTGGGCATATTCCCCGTTTGATCTCATGCACCATCTAGGGTCATCAGGTGCTTCGCTTTTGGTGATCCTCTCTGTTCAGGTCTCCTCCTCTACAGCCTGTGTAAACTCATTTTTGGTGGCTGCAACCACACTTTGGAACAGCTAGCCAGAGATGGTATGGAAAGGTTCCACACACACGCACTCTCTCTCTCTCTTCTATAAAAGGTGCAAAGTGGAATTGTTCTGATGTGCCTTTTGTTGGAAGTAACCAGGGCTCTTTTTGTAGAAAAAGCCCAGCAGAAACTCATTAGCATAACAGGCCACACCCAACAGCAGGAACTCATTAGCATATTGGGCCACACCCCTGACAGCACAGCTCATTAGCACATCAGGCTGCCCCCCCATGTTACCAGAACTGTGGTCATCCAGCCACACCCACCTTTTGCTTGTTATTCTGTTTACCTTGTTTGTTGTCAAAACCCAGGGCCTTTTTTTGTAGCAGGAACTCCTTTGCATGTTAGGCCACACACCCCTAATGTAGCCAATCCTAATGAGTTTCTGCTGTTGGGTGTGGCCTATTATGCTAATGAGTTCCTGCTGGGCATGGCCAACTTGGGAGCCAGCTGGAACTCTGTTCCTGTGCGTTCCTGCCCAAAAAGAGCCCTGGAAGTAACTACTGAATGTCTCTGGCAGTTGGTGGGGATATTTATTGCAGGAGAAGCAGTTTTAACTGGGTGTACCTGATACAGTTTTAATTTGATTTATACATTTCAACTGTGTATGTTCACATTTTGTAAGCTGCCTTGGGCATTGTGGAAAGGCAGGATAGTATATTTACAATAAATAAATATTGCCATAAGTTGGAAACAATTTGACGGGACTAACACCCACACACAGCAATGGTGTTAACTGTGTCTCTCACACACATTTAGTACAGTTTGAAGGTAAGGGGTGAGGCCAAAGAGACAGCAAGCTCAATGGAAAAGCACCTACCTTGCATGCTGAAGATGGCATCTCCTCCAGATAAAAGGATCAGGGATTTCAGGACCACGGAAAGCTCCTTCTAGGTGGAGTCTTAAGCAAGATAGACCCTACAGTTTCATTCACTGAAGCTTCGGATGTGACAAAATAAGGTGAGATAATGGAAAGGGGTTGGTTTGTAGGCAACAAACCCTACCATCTAAACCATTGGTGTTATGTCCTCCTACCAATGTGGAATCTGACACTTCCAAAATTCAGCTGCCTTAAGATCTCTCTCCTCTTTTGTTTCCTTCCTCTCTTTCCAAATGCCACTTCAGTATCTTCTTTTGGTACGAAATGAGATGACCGTTTCCCAGAAGCACATGGGAGAGTTCTGCGGCTCGCTTAAGCAGTACTTGAAACATGTGGCAGGAGAACAGGACTGCTTCCAGTAAGTACAGATTCTGCATGTGTGTGAAAATAGCCAGCCAGAGGGCAGTTCCTGCAAAGAAGTGTGGTTTGTACAACAGTCAGAGCCAAGGCAACTGGTGCAATGACCAGAGGAAGGCCTGAGTTTCCATAACTACTTATTCACTCCAGTCATTGCAGACATCTTGTGATACATGGAACTGAACGATGAGCAGCCCAAAGCGGTTGGTGTTTCTGGTCTGAATGACTTCAACAAGCCTCAAAAGTCAGACTTGCACAAGTTGTTTTGGCCCACAAAGCCCGCTCAGAGCAGCCTCCCCAATCTGTGGACCAGGTGGCATGTATATGCCTGTCGCTAGATTTCTCTTCACTTGAAGTGAATCCATTGAACACCGTTGTGTCTGAGATGATGTTTAAGTTGTGTGAGTATGGTGCCAGGTCTACAGATAGCTCATTCACACCTGCAGGTCACTACCTGAGGGTGTGCTCATGAGGTGACGAATATGCATATCAGCAGCATCTTGAAAGTTGTAGAGAAATATTTGCTAGTGGTTCATTCTGGAAAAATGAACTACCCTACTGGTGTCAGAAAATGAGAAATACAGGATAGCTAAAAGTGCTATATACAATAGCAATTTTAACTATCCTGTATTTCTCATTTTCTAACACCAGTAGGGTAGTTCATATATACGTGTAATGTGTGTATATATGGACCAGTTTTGGCCCCCTCTTTCTAGAGGTGAGAAGTTCTGCAGTGAGATCGTATGGATTGATATACCTTGATTGTATTGGGTTGGATCTAACGTGCCCCTTTGGAACACTTTTGCTTGCACAAGAGGGGGTGAGCTATTTCCTCCAAGGAAATGCGGGCAGGAAGCGAGGGTATTTGCCCCGGGGCGAACTGACGCGCGTTTGGACACTTCTGCTTGCACAAGAGGGGGTGAGCTATGTCCTCCAAGGCTCCGATCACACCACTGAGGAAATGCGGGTGGAAAGCAAGGCTGTTTGCCCCGGGGCGAACAGACACGTGTTTGCGTGATCAGACTTCTGCCCGCCTGCCCCTTTAATCCACGGGGGAATCATATATCTGCCACAGCTTCAGGTGCGTATGATCGCAGCCCCTGTCTCCCTTCCTGCTGCAGATACATCTTTTCCGAGGTCCCAAACCTTCAGAAGCAAATGACTGCAGTGAGAGAGGATAAACGGGAACTATCCATTGCACCAATGGAGCTCAACTTACAGTTCTTTGGAGCAATCCCAGTGCTTGGCTTTCTCCTTCTCAGGCTCATCAGACGTCTACAAGGACCTTTGTAAGGCCAGTTTCCTTTGGAAACCAGAGCACTGCAGAGTTATGGTAACCTTTGCAATGATCTCTGGTTCCACATGAGTACAACTGAGCCAGGATTCTGTCTGCTGTGACACACCTACATTGGGAGACTTTGAAAAGGAGCATCACCCCAAAGCCATATTATCTAACTACCTTTCCTAAGACAGAAATTAAAGCCTTAAGCTTCAACCAGCCTAGAAAAAAGTTGCAATATAAGATGATTCACCAAACCACAGAAATATAAGTATCCCACAGTGCACTCCTAAGTCAAGTTGCATCCTTCTAAGCGTTAATGGACTTAGAAGGGTGTAACTCTGTTTAGGATTGCACTGCCCCTGCATATACATGCGCACATATGCAAAAAAGTAATGTTTTAATGACAAATAAAGAGTTCCTTTTATTGTCTCCTTGATAAGTATTCATTTCATTCATTTTTAAAACTGTTTCCACCCTCCTTGAAACTCATTTCTTTCTTTACAATTTTCTATCTGATGGGCTGGATCCAGACTAAATTTTACACTAGTAGAGGGGGAGGCGCAATTTCAACCAACTTCCCTTGCCTTCTGGATGTCCCTGATTTGCCCTCATTGCCATTCCTTGGGAGTCCCCTGTCCACCAGGAGATCAGGCAGCTGTAGTGGGAGGGGGCAGGCCCAAGTATTATGTTCCCTTGACAGAAGCAGGGGTCGATTCGGGGGGAAACGCGGGGGAATCGCAGTTCCCCCGGGTGAGGTGTGGGGGCGGGGCACATGACGAAGCCCCGCCCCCTGCTTCCGGCCACCCCCTGCTTCCAGCCTCATTCTGTTGCAGAAGGAGGAAGAAGCAGGAGGGTAAGTTGGCGTCCTCCCCCTCTGCCTGGCCGAGGCCACTTCATGTGGCCTCTGCAAGGACTCCGAACCCCATCCAGGAGCTTCCCAGAGGTAGCTGTGTTAGTCTGTTGCTGCAAAATAGTCCAAGAGTTCAAATAGCACCTTTAAGACTAACAAATAGCACCTTTAAGACTAACCTTTAAGACTAAGACTGAGTGGTGGGTGTGGCCTTATGACACACTTCCGGTGATGTCAGGGGGTGTGGCATATGCTAATGAATTATGCTAATGAGTTCCCCTAGCTCTTTTTCTACGAAACGACCCCTGGACAGAAGTACCATCTGTTAGTGGAAAATTTAGTCTGGATCCAACCCATTGCTTTCTTAAACTGGCAAGTCTATTAAAGCTGTGCAATTACTTGGGTCTGAGACCCGGTGAACTCAGTAGGACTTGCTTATGAGCAAACACGCACAGGATCACACCACATATCAGCAACAGTAACAGTTATTCAATATAAACTCAACCAGGTTAGCTTGTAGAAATGACCTACATGTATTATGAAACAATTCTGGGGTTTTGTGTTTTAAACAGCACTTTCAACAACTATATAAAGAACATGGATGGATTACAGCATCTATTATAAATGGACTACAGCATCCATTATAGAATGCATGAAGTCGAGAAGAAAATATAGTGCACACAAAATATTTTTTCCCACCCATTAATGGTTGGTTGGTTGCCTACAAATGGAATTGGTGCCCTAAATCTAGATGCGTACTAGATGTATGGAAAAATTGATTTGTGATCTTCTGGAAAAGCATCAGAGCATTTACATTCCTTTTAAAATAATCTATTCTTTTTTCTTTTGTGTGATTCACAAAGCAAATCTTTGCTTATGCATTAGCTTTGTAAACCAAAAACTGCAGTTATCTGTTTTCACAAGATTAGCCAATCTTGCCCCCCCTCCACCACCTGTCCCTTGCTTCCCTTCCCCCCTAGGAGTCCCCCACTTCCATCCCTTGGTCTTGGGTATCATGTGGGGCTTGCTTTGCTTTCCGGGGGCAGGGGGAATCAGCCAGTGTTCATAACACCAGGTGTATGCAGGTTCAAGTTGTAAAGAGCTCTTCCTTATGCTGCAAAGTAAAATTGCAACCCAAGGACAAAGACCGTGTTAAGATTCCTGATCCGTTAGTGAAGGCCGGCAATCAGAGCCAGTTAGCAAAGGGCTCCTTGCTGCAGTTAATGACCCACTTAGCTCTGATTGTGGCCATCAACCAACAGGGACAGTTATTATCAGAGAGAAAGTGCCTCCTTCAGCTATGGTGGTGGCAGATGGTGGTGCTTTGCAATACTCCTGCAGTAGCCACGACCGTTCTCACTTTTCATTGCTGTCTGTTCTCATCCCTCCCTCTTCTCTCTTGCAGCGTAACTGCGGTGAGGCTGCCAGACGGAGTCACTTTCATTGTCTACGAGTTCTGGGAGAGTGAGGATGACTGGAAGCGGTAAGGCAGCAAAATCTGACAGTTGAGATGTGTTGCAACAGCCACTGCATATGCAGAGTTTGTATAATTACTTTTCAGAGATCCCCGTATTAACCCCAGGCAGAAATCCAAGGGTGCCCCCAGACTGATGTGAGGCTCCAGCAGCTTTTCACTGTGGCCTCTTTGCTTGGGTAGTGGGGCAAAAGGCCACGGCAGCTCAAGGCCTTTTGCCATCCCAAAGGCCCTCCTCCTCCAGCAACATGGGAGGGGAAGGTCCATGGCTCAATGATAGTGCCTCTGTTTTGCATGTAGAAGGTCCCAGCTTCAGTCCTCAACATCTCTAATTAAAGGATCAGGCAGCAGGTGATGTGAAAGATCTCCACCTGAGACCCTGGAAAACCACTGCCAGTCTGAATAGACCAGGCTGACTTTGATGGAGGAAGGGGTCTGATTCTGCATAAGGCAGCTTCATAAGTATTTTTGTGAGTCCTAGGCAAGTTCCAAGGACACGGTTTTTGCAGCCCACCAGGTTTGATTCCCCATTCCTCTACATGCAGCCAGCTGGGTGACCTTGGGTCAGTCACAGTTCTTTCAGCCCCACCTACCTCACAGGGTATCTGTTGTGGGGAGAGAAAGGGAAGGAGATTGTAAGCCGCTCTGAGACTCCGAGTGAAGGGCGGGGTATAAATTCAACTCTTCTTCTTCACCTTGGACCCCTGACTTCAGCAGACTAGGTGGGGAGGGGGTAGAGAGAGGCACCAACTGCAGCTAGTTTTTCTTCCTGCTTGGGCGATTAACCATAAGCTTGCTACTGTTTGCTATTTTATTAATATACCTAAAGGATCTCCTCTTGCCACGTTCACCTTGTGCCCGCTTAGATACTTGCAGCAGACTCATTCTGGGGTGCCTTCCGTCTGCCAGGTTCACACCTCTTTGGCTTTGTTGATTGTGGCTCCAGTTTAATGGACCCGAGTGCCAGGCCAGGGGCAGAGATCAGTTTTCTGTGGTTGCCAACCTCCAGGAGGAGGACTCCCAGATTTGCAACTGATTTCCAGACTACAAAGATCAGTTCCCTTAGAGGAAATGACAGCTTTGCAGGGTGCACTCTGGGGCATCACGTCCCCTCTAAGCCCCCTCAAAGTCTTCCCTTCCCAGGCTCCACCCCCAAATCTCCAAGAATTTCCCAACCAAGAATTGGCAATCCCGACAACTTCAGTAGCAACTGTCCTCTTTTAAAATGTCTTGTAAAATGGCATCTAAAGGTACAAGAAATGTTTTGGACAGTTTGGGTTTCAGCTTGTCAATTGTTACATTTGGATTGGTTATGTAAGTCAAACTGAATGCAGGATGCATGCCTATGTCTAAGACGAATGCTGACCACCATTAACTAAGGAGAAGTTACATCCTTGATGAGAGGGCAGGAGTGGTTTGCAAGACGGGAGAGGGCTCCATCCTGAGGAGTGTCAGGCCCTTTCCGCACTAGACCTTTAATCCTGATTCAACGCTGTCTCCTACTAGCTATTCTGCACGATGCGCAAGTTCATCTCTCCTTTTTTCCTGGATTTTTTTTTTGTCAATTCTGCATTACATTGTAGTCACCCCAGGTTTGGACCACCGTTGCCTCAGAGTATACGGATCCTGTTTTGCTGTGGGCTTTCCCTCGATCCGGAGTGGCCCCGGTGGAGATGGAAGTATAGAATTTTGAACTCTATTTCAATCGTCCCTGCCCCTTTCCCACCATACCTAGGACATTAAACCTGAGTTTACAGTTCACAATGCAGAATTTATAACCGGGGACAGGCAAGCAAATTGGAGTGGGACAAAATTAGTGCAGAAAACAACAGAGATAACAGCAAGGTAAGCAGCCACAAGTTGAACACAGAGGTCCTTTCCACACTTGGATCTCATCCCTGGTTTTATCAGAGTTCAACTCGCAACACAATACCTTGCATTTATCCCTGGTTGTAACAGCATCCGTTTATCCCAGGACAAGTGTGGGGCAAAACTGGGGTGACCTCAATGTAATGTGGAAACAAAAAATAGCCTGAGTTAGTTACAGAGGTGAACTTGAGTGTAGCCTAGAATGTAAGTTCAGGGACAGGTTTAAACCAGGATTTGAGGTCTAGTGCAGAAATGACCAGAGAAAACCTGGGGTGAAGTCGAAGTGCAGAAAGGGCCTCAGAGTCCAAGAGATGAAGGTTAAAATGAGGTTCCTCCAATACAGAAGTGGGGAAATGATGTGTGACGTACAGCCCAAAGGTAAATATTAACTTGCGTCTGGATCAGCCAGAGTCCATTCAGAAAAGACAACAGTTGGAGTCCAAAGCCTGTTTTCATCCAGTGGAACAGAGAGCAAGCCATCTCTACCAGTTCCTTCCCCTCTCTCCACCGCCACCCTCCTGCCACTTTCTTTGTTCTCCACATGGTTCTGAGCATCCCTGGCCACAGCCCCATGTTAACAAATTGGGGAGATGAACTGACTTCGGTTAGTTGAAAATGCTCTTCAGATTCAGGCCCATTTCTTTGCAACCTGAGGTCCTGGTCAACATAACTTAAATAAGAGTATAATGTATTTGTTGTGCTAAAGCTGGGTGTAGCAGCCTGAATAGCCTGTCAAAGCCTGGCTGCTAAGCAAAGTTGGCCCTTGGTTAATACTTGGATGGGAGACACACACACACACCCCAAGAAGGCAAGAGTTGCTTTGCAGAGGCAGGCAAGGGCAAGCCACCTCTGCTCATCTCATGCCATGCTTGGGGTCACCGTGAGCCTGTCACAACTTGACAGCACATTCTTCTTCAGAGTGAAAGCCGGTGTGGCTTCTTGTGCTTTACCAGTTTCTGGTTCTTCTAGACAAGCTCACAAAAGCTTTTTTTTCCAAATTTTGATTAAAAAAAAATTCTTCTGAAAAATGAGATGCTTATTTTTTCCATTAGGTCAAGGGGTGTTGTGGATAGGGTTGGCAGTGGTATGTAAACAGGGAAGGGAAGACTAATGTAGGGAATATTCTTCTTGGTTCTGCAAGCCTTTCCATTTTTACAAAGTATACTTTTGCCTTTCCTGGCTGAGTTTCATTTTCAAATCATAAACCACTCTGGTAACCCTGACACATACATGACCAGATCTTCCTAGTAATTTTGAAGGCTAACCTCACTTTCACGGGACTATCTGAACTTGAGCCATAGTGAAGTGAGCCATGGTAAAGTCTGACTGCTCCTATCCTTCACAGATCACTAATTCTTGGTGTTCCCAGGTTTCCTCGAGGTGAGGAAATGACTGCTAACCACACTTGGCTGTAGTGTCTGTACAAGCAGTACTGGCAAAGACTGATACTCCTATAAAGCACACTTTGAACACATGCCTTAAACTAAATCAACACTATTGGTCCATCAAGGCCCGTATCGTCTACTCACACTGGCAGCAGCTCTCCCAGCTCTTTCAACGTCACTTACTGTCTGGTCTTTTTTCACTGGAGATACTGGAGATTGCACCTGAGATCTTCTGCATACCAAGCAAATGCTCTACCACTGAACTATACAGCCCTTCCCTTCTTCCTTTGCAGCATGATAGCAAACCTGAACTAAATACATTTTTTTTAAACCATGACTTAATTGCAGTGGGGGGAAAACTGATCAGATGCAACACTTTCAGGGCAGTGGGGCTTGTTAATTAAAACCCCTATGCCACTGAATCAAACCTACCTTTTCAGAGTGACTCTTAGACAAATGAAATACTTCTGCAGAAGTTTAAGCAATGGTCAATGCTGACTGGCTAGCACCCTTGCTGTCCCTAAGAACACCCCCTTCTTTATTTTTATTTTTTTGCATTCTTTAAAAAAAAGGCCATGGTTTTAGACTGATGATAGTGAAGGGCAGACACATAAATGAGCACATGCACATGTGGAACATTAAGAAACATAAAAAATGCAGGAAGGCAGAATGAAACATTCCAGCAGGGGCAAGGCTGACAGGCTCCATTTACTGGAAAGTACATTTGCCATTCAACTTGCAAAACCAGGAAGAAGCTGGGTGCATCCCACAGCAGTGAGATCTGCTGTGAATTCTGCTTTTCCTTTACAAAACAATAATTACCTCTCTTCAAGTTTAGACACTGTGCCAAAACTCTCACCCAGCCAGATATCTGGGTGTCTTCAGTTCCTTACAGAGGATTCCTGCCGTCTGCTGCAAACACATCATCCACGCCGCCGGACAGCACCATTCCTCCATCCCTCTAAAAGTCCCACTCTCCAAGTTGCATCTCTTCATGTATTCCAAAGGATATTTTTTTTTAAAGAAAGCATTCATTGACAGGGCCTTACTGGCTCCCCAGCACCTCTAGTTCAACCCACCCACCCAGCGATTCGAAAGCTTGCAAGTAGATAAATGGGTACCTGCCTTAGGTGCAGGGAGGCACCTGCCTTCAGTGGAGCGGTGACAGAGAGGAGCAGTGGTGTTGGCAACAGCGGGGCGACCCGGCGATCCAACGGAGGAAGATGGCGGCGAAACATCGAGCAGGCGAGCGGGGACTGGTCTGAAGGCGTGGCGACGTGACGATGTAAGCTCGGCCAGAGCCAGTTAGGACAGAGGCCGGTGCAATGATCGTCACTTAGTCGCAGGCGACGGAACCACCCCAGCAGGAGCCGCTACAGAGCCGAGCCGAGCCACCGCGCAAGCAGAGCAGAGAAGAGAGCCGCTGAAATAAACAACTAACCGGTAGGGTGCCTGGTAGGCATCCCCTTCCCCTAATACTGTGTGTGTGGCCCTAGTTAGGAGTGTTGACTGTACTATGTAAACCGCTCAGAGCCCTTCGGGGGTTGAGCGGTCTAGAAATTTAAAGTTAAATTAAATAAACCAAAAGCAGGGAACCAACTGCCCATCAAAGCAGCAAAGAGGACTGTGGAAGAGGAGGGGGCCCCAGCTCCAGGCGGGGGGCCCTCGCTCAGTGGTAGAGCATCTGCTTGCCATTTGGCAGGTTCACTCCCCAGCACCTCTAGTTCAACAGAGCAGGTAGCAGGTGATCTGAAAGACCTCTGGCTGAGACCCTGGAGAGTCACTGCCTGTCTGCGTAGATAGTACTGACCTTGATATACCAATTGCCTGAGTCAGGAAAAGGAAGCATTGCATGTTCATTGTCACATTTGTTAAAGAGGCAAGAAAAGAATGTGAAATAAGCTGGTTTCAAATTTCCTGTAGACAATGTAATGGATTTAAAAAATCCAGATATGGAGAGACCCATGTTCTCAATGACTGCCGCTGTAAGTGTACATTTATCCTGGGGGGGGGGGGATGCTAAGGAAGGGTTAGTCAATTTGCATAAATTATTCATCAAATCTGCATGATTTATTCTGCCTTTCTAGAGTCCGGTGTAATTTGTTCTGGGACTGGGAAGAGCAAGCAATTGAAACCTAAATCATCAAACATCTTTTTGGCTAGTGAGGTTTCAGCTGGCCTTTCACAACTGCGAGGGCATGAGCCTGGCTCCTTTTCCAAAGAAGAAAAACAGCGTTCTAAGGATGCTGGATTCGGTGTCTGATATTACCTGCGGCAGGCATCCTACGCTCATGGCCCACATCCAGCCCTGTGCACACCTAGTAACCAGCTCTTGGAAATCTACTTTCCTATCCCTGCCGGAATGAATTCTTCTGAAGCTGCAGTGGAAGAGCAAAAGCAATCCTGGTCTCAGTCAAAAGAAGAGCCCTGCTGGCTCAGGCCAATGGTCCCTCCAGCCCAGCATCCTGGTCTCACATAGTGGCCAGCCGGTTACTATGGAGGGCCAACAACACAGCACAGAGGCTGAGGCCTTCCTTTGATGTTGCCATGGTGATTCAGTCAACCCTGAATACCATTGCCAAGAGGAGCTTCTTCTACTCCTACTAGTAAATCCATTTGACACGATTCCTTATTTCATTCACATTCCTAAAATTCATCTGTAAAAGTTACTCAGAACCTATAGCACAGAGCAGGACAGGCATTTTGAAACCCCTAAACCTGAATGGAATACGCCTGTTACCTAAATCAGTTTATTTTACGGGAAACTGGGAAAGTGTAGAATGCACTGAAACTGTTGATTCTGTCAGGTAAGGAGGATGCTTTCCTTAAAAGACAAGTTGTGAAATTTGGATGCCATCTTGTTCAGATGCAAGTCTGCCCGTGGGGGCTGCCCTCTCATTGGTCCACTGGTAAACCCAACCCCAATGGCTGCCACCCGCAACATCAGGAGCCCCCTGAGGCTGGCATCCAGTCAACGGGCTGCTTCTTTTCTTCTCTCATCTCCAGGCACCTTCAGACTCCTGCTTGCAAAAGCTTCCAGCATGTGAAGGTGGACACGCTGACTCAGCCAGAAGCAGTCTCCAGTGTGTCTGTGCCAGGTACGAATCTGGGAACTCCAGCCAAGTCCACAGAGGGTGGATGATCAGCATGGTATTTGATGACTCATTTGAGAATGAGAGACACATGGGATGGAATTTTCTGGAAGACTGTCAGTGACTAGGCACTCAGGCTCCCCCACTGCTTCACAGCCCAGCAACAACTGTAGATTCTGCAATTCCTTTCCCCAGTCTCTTAATGTAGCCCACTGGGGAACCAAGTTCTGAAATGCATCCCAAACAGATGTCCCCTGTTGGTGCTCCCCAACAAGGCACTGTGGCAGGCCTGTAGCTAGGATTTTGTGGCTTGTAAGGCAATTTTTTTCTGGTGGGGTTGAGATTCTCAGTGCAGAAAGAAAAGCCATTTAGCCAATAGAAAGCTGTTACCAGGATAGACCTCTAAATTGCAAGCTGTCAGCCTCTTTAGATGACAGTTCTCGGCTGCTGCAAGTCAATCACTTCTGCCAGCCTAAGCAACAATTCTTTTTTTCCAATAACATTTTATTGGTATAATACAATAGTATTAAGAAAACATAACAATCACATTTTTATAACATTAGCCAAGTCCATGATAACAAGCCAGCAAGGAAGTTATCATTTAGGCAGGAAAAACTCTCTTAAAGGAGCCCAGTCTCTTGACAGAGTTAGAAGGGATCCTAGAGGTCACCTACTCCAACCCCATTGGCTCAGTGTGGGAATTAGTCAACTACAGCCCCCCCACACTGCTTAAAGGAGCACACACCTTTTAAAAATGGTTTGAAATGATTGAAAAAAGTATTTACAGGAGAAAGTTTTGTGGGGCTGTGCCTTTAAGAAAGGGGTCGGAGCCCCCAAAAGCCCCACTGTAGCTATGGGCTTGCACTGTGGGGTAATTTGGAGTTGGGAAAATAGCAGAAAGGAGGCTCAGACACCCCTCTGTCACCCTCATGCTTTGGTCCAGATCCAAGTGGAGGTGCCCTGTACCTACTGGCAACAGCAGATTATTCTGTTTCAGCCCACAAAGGGTCATTTATATCCTCTCCTCTGCCAACAATTTTTTGCTTTCTAGATGTAGGCTCAGATGAAAAATGCCCACATGTGGTGATGGGGTAGAGTCAGTAGTTTGCTACCGGGTATAGCCGTGTCCTTCTAAGATGCCTGTGGCCTCTCTCCCTCCTTTCTTCTGGCAGCTGCCTGGTGCACCCTCAACAGAGACTGACGCTGAGAAGACGGAAGAGGAAGAGGGAGGCTGTGTTCCCTTCTCCTCCCGCCCTGGAGTGCTCGGCGCTTGCCCCTCTTTTGCGGAGAACAACAACAACAAAAATTCCTGTCTTTTCTAATGACTTTGTTACAGGTGTCGTCTTTTTCAATACATTTCTACCCGGAAATGTTATTTGCTTGCTGTTTGAAGTGAAGGAAAAACAGATCTCTCAAGGCCAAGAGCCTTCTGGCCTGCCAGACACACAATTCATCAGCCCAGATTAACAAGAACAGCCAGTTCCTGACCGTGAATCTGAAGGGCAACACCAAGCCAGTCGTTGCAATGGGCAAATAAATTGCTGTATATTTGGGAATCGATGGAGGGATGCCCCTGGATGGGCATCTGTATTCCAGGATATATTTTTTTTCAGGAAAGAAGACTCCTCCCGAAGTACCTGAAGCCTACTCCCCCCCCCCCCAAATAGGGATCTCAGGTTAGATCGTAAATTCTTCAGGGCAGGGCGTTTCAGGGCTATTGGTGTTCACCCAGCACTTGGCAAATAACCCAAGCAAAGCAGTAACCTTTGCAGGCCCATTTTTCTCTAAATAAAGGACAATTTCTACTCGTGAGCCTGGACTAGGGTTGCCAATCTCCAGGTGGTGGCTGGCGGTCTCCTAGGATTATTACTGCTCTCCGGGAGACAGAAATCAGTTCACATGGAGAAAATGGCCGCATTGGAAGGTGGACTTTACAGCATTATTCCCGCTAGAAGTCCCTCCCCTCCCTCCTCAGGCGCCACCCCCAGAATCTCTACATATTCCCCAACCTGGAGCTGGCAACCCTAGCCTGGACAAAGGAGAGAGCCTGCTGCTACTCGGACCGCCGAACAGATCACTGCACTGAGAAGTTTCCAACAAACCTACTTGCCCAATGCACATTGGCCACATGCAGGGCCAGCCAGACCTCCCAAAGGCATATTCTCCTTCTCTCACACACATTCACACACAAGGCCTGTGGGGTGAAGGAAGGGCAACTGCTTAACCCAATTCTCTTCCAGACATTTTTCCTGCTCTAAATCATGCCGTTTCCAAGCAGCTTTGAGCCTTTAAAAGAATACACACAAGGGGGACACCACAGGCAACTGGCATCATAACGTGATCCCCCAGCATGGCACCCATTCGATTCTTTGACATCTTTTCCCCAAAGCAAAAAGCTTTCCTCCACCACTGGAGCAGGAGATGCTTCGGAAGAGCGCAAGAGGCAATAACTTTGCATCTGCAAAGAGCACCCATTTGGAAACAGCTGTCTCCATCATAGGACATTTGGTTTGGGACATCCCTACACTAAATGATAGGTCCCACCCAGCATCCCATGGCAGCTGCTTTGTGGTGGCAATTACTCACATTCAGAATTCTAGAAAAGCCCACAGGCTTAACAGGATGGGAGGGTGCCTCTAGTTCCACACACACACACACACACACACACACACCAAGATTTTTAAAGTAGACATTTAAACATGATTCATGAAAAGACCCTCTTTTAGTTTAAAAAAAGAAACCAAAAGCATCACTTCACCCAGATGTGGTCTCAGGCTAGTGCAAAGGTACACCATACAAGTCCCTTGCTACAGAAAGTGGGCCTAGGCCAGAACACAGAACCACCATTTTCATTTTTTGTTGCTGTTGTTACTAACCCACAAGAACAGACAAGCCTTTTTAAACCCCGTGCCTTCAGTGCTGCAGCGGGCAAGACAGGAGCGGTTAGTTTCCCACACTTCCTGCTGCCCCAGCAAATCACGACTCCGACTCTTTGGGAACCGGCAGTCTCCAGAATCACAGTTGTCAATAGCAACCTGAATGAGAGGAGAAAAAACTGGCCCATCACCAATAGAGCAGGGGCTACCACCATTACAGACAACCTTGCTTACAAGCAAGTAGTAGTTCAGCTCCTTGTAATGTGCTTCCAGAAAGGCCCTTCATATTCCCAGTATACCACTTGTGCCAAGACAATTGGCAAAAAGTACAGTTGGTGGGCTGCTGAGTACAGACTGAGGGTGCCAGTTTGCTACTCTGGAGCTGCTGCATCAACTAGTTTGTTTCTAATTTAACAGGGTTGCCAACCTCCCGGTGGCATTGCGGGATCGTTTGCTGTTACAACTGATCTTCAGATGACCACAGTCAGTTCCCATGGAGAAAATGGCTGCTTTGGAGGGCATTATACCCTGCTGAGGTCCCCCCCCCCCAAAAAACCCTGCCCTCTCCAGGCTCCATCCCCCACAGCTGGCAACCCTAGAAGTTCCATCGACAGTCTTACTGCCCTTTGGGGAAGGGTCCCCTAAATCAGCCTTCTTAAAGCACACAGGGTCAGGTCACACGGACATTTAGCGTGGGCTGCGCTGCTGATCCCTCGTGCATTAACGTTTCCTGTTCATATTGGCAAACCCGCTTCCCGCACCAAAGCGGGCTGAGTCCCGCGGTTTCCGCTCTTTTTATCTGCGTTTTCTGACACCCGTTGGAACATGTGTTTTCCGATATCTCGCGCTTTGTATCCGCGGTTTTGGTATCTGGACAGCAACCCGCCGTGACCACGCTACCCTCCCCCTCCCTTTTTTGTGTTTCCAGTTTAAGTTATGCGCATGAGCAAACAGGCACTTGCTTTTATTTTGGTCCTTTTTAGTTTGTATGTATGCCCAAGCGCATGGGAAGACAAGCGCATGCGCAGGTGGGGTTTTTTAAGCCCCGCGCCGCCACGGGGACAGCGTGCTGTGTGATCAGTACTTTGCGCAAGTGAAGCGGTCTGACCACCTCCAAGCGATATAAAATGTCGCGGATAGAAGAACTGTGGGAAAACTAGCGTGGTAAGAGGTCCGTGTGACCACGGCCACACAGTGGTGGAACCACAGCTGGCGTCCTCTATTAGCACAAGCTGACAGCAGCAAGAGGGCATTTCCAGACCAGGGAAGAAGGAGCTGAAGCCAGCCCCCATCTGCCACTTTCTCCCAGCAACTTGCCCTCCTCTCCCAGGCATTTCTCAACCAGGCACATTTTCCAGACTCAGAACCAACCTGTAAGGTAGAGAAGCAACTGGGGGGGGGGGGATGTTTTGACAATGCACGCAGTTTTGCTTACTGCTTCTCTGCTGGAGAGAAGAGAGCCCTACTATCTCCAGGCTGTTTCACTATTTCAGTATGACTGCTGTTAAATGAGACACCCAGGCCAGGTGCCATCCAATGTGGTTGTTCTCTGACGGGGGAAGGGGGGGGATCACCCAGGAAGTGAAGAAATGGGCATGTGAGTTTACAGCAGAAGACCAGCACAACACATCAGCAAACCAAGGGAAGCAGTCAGGATGAGTGCTTTTGCGCAGGCATTCGGCAGGAGCATTAAAGACGGTCAACCTCAGGGTTCCATAACTAAAAGCCCCAGTGGTATAACCTATAATGGCGAGAGAAAAGAGGTGCATTATTGAACTTTGTGTTTTTTCTGTACCAAGGCTTAAAGCCGCTGGGAAGGAATTATGGACCAAATTATGTTGAAAGGCCAGACATGTGTAGTTTGGCTCCAAGGAAGGTATGCATAGATATCCTAAATACAGCAGCAGTATCTCTCTTTGGAATATACAGTCAATGTTCTGCATGACCTCCCCAAGATCTAAGAGCAGACTGTCAGTAATATGTTTGTACCTTTCCTTTCTGCAGTGGAAATTTTGAAACATGGGCTGGCAGTGTTCGGTTTGCATTTCAAAATTCATTACTGGAAACTCATTCCTTGTTCTCCATCACTTGCAGAGGCAGAGAAACAGGCTGTGGCAAAGCCATAAGCAAACTGGCCTAACAGTTAGGGTTGCCAACCCCCAGGTGGGGCTTGGAGGTCTCCTGGAATTACAGCTGATCTCCAGACCACAGAGATCAGTTCCCCCAAAGAAAATGGCTGCTTTGGAGGGTGGACTCTATGACATTACACCCAGCTGAGGTCCCTGCCCTCTCTTAACCCTGTCCTCCTCCAGTTCCACCCCCAAATCTCCAGGATTTTACCAACCTGGAGTTGGTAACTCTAGTAATGGTCCTTCCCTCTCTTCTGGCAACCCGGGAAACTTTACTTCTATGAAGGGAGTCTAATTTCTCAGCATTTGACAAAAATGAGCACAAAATTTACATGGGTATCAAACTGTCAGCCTGGAGTTGTAGATATTCCCTTTGAGTGCCTTTGCATCATGTGCCAGCTTGAGTTACTTGGTCATGTTCTGCAACAATGTACGCATTCCCAAGTTTCATTTGTTTAAAAGAAGTCACTAGCCCCTTTCATTGTGGAGTCATAAGGAGAAATGTGCAGCCAACCCCTTAACTCTACAGGAGAAACAAAAAGGCTAGAGGTTTTTATTTTTTAAAAAATCAAAGTTGGGAACTAGTACATGGTTAAAACATTCTAACACTGTACTGATCTAGCCATTACAGATGCTTTTTTAAAGCCTGGAAAAACCCTCTTGTGGATAGGAAGTGGTGAGTTTGGGGTCCGAGATCAAGAAAATGGCATTAATGTGCGTAGGACTTGCAAAAATGTGCATCTTCCTATCCACATGGTGGATATTCAAAGGTGCTTTGATGGCCATCTTTCCAAAAAGATTGTACCAAACCAGATTTGGCAAAGATCCCAGCAAAGCATGGAGAAAAAACAGAAGCCAATGCTCCCTCTAAGCTGTGGAGTCTTCTGAGCAAAAATTCTGCTTTGTGAGCTACTGGCATTAAAGCTGTGAGTGGGCGATTTGGCTACTGCACAAATTAGTTTGCTCTGGAGCCATCCCTTCCTGAGCTAGGACAAAAAATCTGTGAGTCGGAGGCTAAGAAACTGGCTCACACTAACTCAGCTTAGAGGGAACACAGAACAAGGACTACTGTTTGTGTGGATGTTCCTGAGGACAATGCTGTAAGGAAGCCGAGGCAGAGAAAAGCCTCCATGTGGAAACAGCTCGAGACCTTTGAGGGAAGGGAAGAAGACACGGCCGCCTTTCTAGAAGTCCCAGGGTATAGCTACACTATGCGTAGCATCCAGTTTTATAATTCCATGTCATAGTTCCCTTCCACCCTGCAAAAGAATCTTGGGAATCACAGCTCGGTGATGGTCTTCACAACACGGCTCCACACGACAGAGAGGGAAGAAACACAATAGTCCAAGCTACACAGGGAAGAGCTAAAGCAATCTCTGTCGATAGCACAGTGACATCCATAGAATTCCTTCTCTTCATTTCAGATGATTTCCCACCCTATCCCTAACTTGCCTACGCCTTTTGGTTCCTCCGTTTCCTTCACTTTAGTGCCAGTGCATGCATAATAATAATCATTAAAAAAATTAAGCCTCAATGTAACTTAGAGATGCCTTTTTTGCTGTAGAGAGTAGCACTGTTACTTTACCAAGTTCTGTGCATTTTTAACAAGTTTCTCAGACGAGGACTGAAGCGGGCAACACTTTCTTCGGGCAGTCGCGCTTGCTCGTCATCTTCGGTTTTGACTGTAACCTTTATAGTTTACCTGTACTGTTTTAGAAACAAGACGGCATCGCTCTTCAGTAGCACACGGCAGGATGTCAATATTATAGCCAATATGTAAGCAATTTTGAATAAAAACCAATATGCTATTGTATAATTATGACTTCGTTTCAGATAACCAAATAAAATTTAACATGGGACCGCTCGAGCTTCTTGGATTTCCTTATCTGCATTCATAGCACAAACGTGAAGGTTCTTCAGACAGGGTCAAGCCATTGGTCTGTCAAGGCTGGGATTGTCTCCTCTAAACAGCAGCAGCTCTTCAGGGTCTCAGGCTGAGATATTTCACACCACCTAACACTGGATGACTCGGGCTAGCCTGATCCCACCAGATCTCAGAAGCAGGGTCAGGCCTGGTTAGTACCGAGATGGGAGACCTCCGAGGAGGTCCAGGGTTGCTGTGCAGAGAGAGGCAATGGCAAACCACCACTGAACATCTTTTGCCTTTAAATCCTCAGGAGTAGTTGCCATAAGTTGACTGCGACTTGACAGCACTTCACTCACACACCCCAGTAAAACCTTTAAGCTGGAGATGCTGGGGACTGAACCTAGGACCTTCTGCACGCAAAGCAGATGCTCTCTGCGTGTGGAGGAGTGGGTCTTCATGCAGCATTTGATTGGTCTGCACCCACATGGTTAAACATGAGGCATTCGGTCCTCCATAAAGGACAGCAGGGTAAGAGAGACCTAAGAGAGACCTACCTGACCTGCCTGTTGCAAACCAGCACAGGCCCCAATTAATAGTCCATAGAAGATACAGGGTTTTAGAGTTTTCAAAGCACTTCATACATCCAAAATAACCTTTACAACAGCTGGCCTGCAAGGTGAGTCAAGAGCTATCTCATACTAGGAGACAGTTTGGGGTCATGTTTCGAACGCAAGGCTTCAGGTGGGGAAGATTTCTTTTTAAAGCAGTCCTCCCTCAGCCATGAAGCTCACTGGCTGATCCACTCACTCTCCCTCAGCCTACCTCACAAGGTTGTGACAAAAATAGGGGTGAGGGGACAGGGAATGATGCCAGCTGCACCAAGATCCTTGGAGGAAGTTTTTAGTGGTCACAGGCTATGGTTGCCAGCCTCCAGGTGCGGCCTGGAGATCTCCCACTTTTGCAACTGATCTCCAGCTGACAGAGATCAGCTCTCCTGGAGAAAAATGGCTGCTTTGAAGGGTGGACTCTATGGCATGGGACCTTGCTGAGGCCCCTCCCCGAACCCCGCCCTCTCCTAGATCCACCCCCAAAGTATCCAGGCATTTTCCAACCCAGACCTGGCAACCCTACCACAGCCCCAGAGATGCGTCCCCACCTAGCCAGGCAGCACCACCACCACCACCAAAGAGACAACCATAAGGGAGCTACACAACTGAGCGCCAGGGAGGGCAGGATACGTCTCCTGGGACTAGGGTTGCCAACCTCTAGGTGGGGCCTGGAGATTCCCCAGCATAACAACTGATCTCCAGATGACAGAGATTAGTTCCCCTGGAGAAAATGGCTGCTTTGGAGGGTGGACCATGTGAGGTAGATGGGGCTGAGAGCAATGTTCCCTCTAAGCTGTAGAGTCCTGTGAGCAAAAATTCTACTTTGTGAGCTACCGGCATTAAAGTTGTGAGCAGGTTATTTGGCTGCTGCATAAATTAGTGTGTTCTGGAGCCATCCTTCCTGAGCTGAGACAAAAAACGTGTGAGCCGGAGGCTAAAAAGCTGTGAGCTGGCTCACACTAACTCAGCTTAGAGGGAACACTGGCTGAGAGGACTCTTTTGAGAACTGCACATGAGTGAACAGTTCTGAAATGATCTGTGACTGATGCAAGGTCACACCAGCAGCTGCGTGTGGAGGAGTGGGAATCAAGTCCGGTTCTCCCAAATTAGAGTCTCTGCTCCTAACCACTACACCAAACTGGCTGGTTCTGCCATTTCACCACCAGCGAGCAATGCAACCCCACTTCCTGTCCATGTTGGGGACAACACAATTGTAGCATGCACATCAAGAGCCAGTTTGGTGTAGTGGCTAAGAGCAGCAGACTCTAATCCGGGAGAACTGGGTCTGATTCCCCACTCCTCCACATGCAGCTGCTGGAGTGACCTTGGGTCAGTCATGGCTCCCTCAGAGCTGTTCTCTAACAAGCAGCCCTCAGAAAGAGCTCTCTCCACCCCACCTTCCTCACAGGGTGTCTGTTGTGGGGAGGGAAAGGGAAAGGAGATTGCAAGCCACTCTGAGACTCCGAGTGAAGGGTGGCATGTAAATCCAATCTCCTCTTCTTCTTCAGTATGCAACAATTTGATTTGGGATCTGGACACCGAAAGATGGGCAACTGGCCTGCAGGTCAACACCAGAAGAGCCGGTTGTTTTCCGGCTGATGGACGTGCTTCTTCGGCATGGCTCTTTTCGTGAAAAAGGGAAAGGCAGAGAAAATTGCTTGGACTTCAAGCATACTAAAAGGTGCTCTAAAAACAAGACTCATTATACATTATTCAGTATAACCAGCAAAAAAAAAATTGCTCAGGGAACAGAGAGGTCTCAGTAGGAGCCTTGGGAGAGAGGAGTGCCGAGCCTCAATTTAGTGCACAATGCACAGAAACTCAAAGCCCATTTAAAATAACCCTGGGAGAGGAAGAAGAAATGGAGAGCAGAGGTGGCACGAAATAATGAGAAACACTCTTAATGGGAAGCAAAGAGGAAAGAACCGTCCCTCTTATGCGCCATGTAGGTAGGTGCCAGTTTTGTCAAGCAGCTCCGGGGGGAAATACCACCTTCCCCAGGTAAGAAGAGATGGGAGGATTCTGCTGCAGTGATTCCCCTCTCTGGCACGGTACCAATAAGAGCATTTGCCAACCGAAAAGGGTCACTTATTGAGCAGCCAAACAGGAATGAAACACGCAGAAATCCAGTGTGCGAAAAGGCACGACCCACTTGAGTAAATTTTTATTTATATAAACAAACATTAGAAACAGCTTTTTTTTAAAAAGGGAGCATCGTTTCGGTTCTGCTCAGCCAGTAAACATGGCAAAAATACCTGTCTGAGTTACTCAGAAACCCTCGCCAGGATTACCCAAGTTCATTTTCCACACAAGGCTGCTAACCTTACAACCGGCTCCACCTTGACACGGCTAGAGTTTATGCATCAGTTCCATGATGGCGATAGTTGTGCTTTGTCCAAAGATGAATGCACCACACAGGACAGTGATGATACCCCAGGCAATCAGAAAGGACCTGCCGTGGGGGGGGGGGGGGGCAAGACATGGAATTGTACAGATTTGATTAGGGCAGTTCTCAGAACTTAATAAAGTTTTACTATTTAGGACAATGATAGTCCAACACCCTTGTTACTACACTTATTAAAGTTTTTGCTATTTAGGACAATGATTACTACATATTAGAATAATTACTATATACTAGAATAATAGCAGCCATTAAAACAGGTGGAGTGCTGTATTTTATACATTCATAGGCAGAGATCTTGTAACCAAGCGTGGACAGAGTTATTTCAAGCAGGACGTGAACAGGACATGGACACACACATGCCAGGTCTGGGTTCCCTGGGCCTAAGCTCTCATGCCTGTCAAATTCAGGTCAGGATAACTATGTCAAATATAGAATTTCAGATGACCAGGGGCTGTTCCAGGTGAAGAGACTGGGGGGGGGGCTAAATATAACTGGTACTTGAGACAATGCAGTTTGCTGGTGAGTTCTTCTGCTGCACTGAACCCTACCATACTTTAAGCTGATCATGGAGACCTTTGTGGGTAGGCACTTCAGTCACGCCCTGACCTGGACGGCCCAGGCTAGCCTGATATCATCAGATCTCAGAAGATAAGCAGGGTGGGCCCTGGTCACTACATTGATGGGAGAACACCATGGAAGGCCAGGGTCGTCACACAGAGGCAGGCAATGGCAAACCCACCTCTGTTAAGTCTCTTGTCTTGAAAACTCTACAGGGTCACCATAAGTAGGCTGTGACTTGACGCACTTTCCAACACAACTTCAGTCAAGGTGCCTGGTGGGTACCACAGTCCCAGATACATCCATGGATCTTTGGGACATCTGAAGCTTCCCACAGTGGCTTTGGTTTACCCTGATGCTCAAGGGGATTAAAGAGGCAACTCTATCTTCCCTGAACTTGTTGCTCAGAGACAGAAGGAAACATTTTGCAACCTTTCAGGTTAAAGGACAACTTCCATTTGATGATCTCTCATTTTAATGTCAGTATTGATTTTACTGTGCCCTTAGAACTTGATCCTTGTGCATTGCTTCCCAGTTTTCTTAAGCAGTATATTTTTCTAAGTGTATTGAATGCCTTTTTTGTCTCTGGAACACATCCAGGGAAATATGCAGTGCAATCCTAAATAGCGTTACACCTTTCTCAGCCCACCGACTTCAACAGGCTTTAAAGGGTATATGTTTAGGACTGCACTGATTGTCCATACACCCAGGGAGGTATCCTTCTATTGATCAGCCTGTTACTCCTCTGTGGCCTGATCTCAGGGCTTCTCAATGGTAAGACCTTTTTTAATTGGAATGGACCAGTAGAGATGGTCAAGAGGGTACCATCTCTGCAACCATGAGGAAAATGTGCCAGGCTGTCCTATTTCAGAGGGCTTTTTGTTACAAGTCAGTGTACGCTGGGGGGTTGTGAGGAAGTTAGATTCACCAATTTATCTGAGCCAGTGTGGTATAATAGTAAAATTACTCGACTAGGACCTGGGAGAACCAGGCTCAAATTCCCATTCTACCACAGAAGCGTTCTTGATTTACCTTGGGTCAGTCTCTCTCCACCTAACCTACCTCACAGAGTAGTTGTTGTAAGGATAAGACAGAGGAAGGAAGGAAGCCAGCCACCGTGGGTCCCCAACTAATGTTCCCTCTGAGCTGTGGAGTCTTGTGAGCCAAAATTCTGCTTTGTGAGCTACTGGCATTAAAGTTGTGAGAGAGCGATTTGGCTCCTGCATAAATTAGTTTGCTCTGGAGCCATCTTTCCTGAGCTAAGACAAAAATATGTGAGCCAGAGGCTTAAAAAACTGAGCTAGCTCACACTAACTCAGCTTAGAGGGAACACTGGAGGAGAACAGCAGAGTATAAATATCTAAATAAATATGTTCACTGCATTAGTTGCCTTGGGTCTGTGGAGAAAGGCAAGATATTGATGTTTTTAATGCTAAAATTAATTTCTATCGTACATTCTCAGCATGCCTCATCCCCGTACATATTATATGCTTTGCTATAATATAAAATGCTCATACCCAACAATTGATCACTACCAGCCAAGCCATTTCAGCATTTTGGTTTGATTTTTAGAAATTTATATCCCCACCTTTCTCCCCAATGGGGCCCACAGTGGCTTACATCATTTTCTCCTTCTCTGTTTTATCCTCACAATAGCCCTGGGAGGTAGGTTAGGCTGAGAGTGACTAGCCCAAGGCTACCTGGCAAAATTTCATGGCAGAGTGGGGATTCAAACCCGGATCTCTCAGACTCTAGTCTGACACTAACTGCTACATGAGACTGTCTCTCTCTGTGATCCATATATTATTGTTAAAAGAGGGGGCAAACGCGTCCAAACCACAGGGCCACCTGGAAAGCAGGCATCAAAATAACAGACACTAAGCAGCTCTAAAAGGAGGACTCAACATTATCAGTATTGGGGGGGGGGACAGTCATATACTGGCATTAAGCTGCACTAACAACTATCCAGAGTCTTTATAGCCATATAAGCAAGGCGGTGTATACATACTTAGTCCTTGGCATGACCGTTTCTGTCTCCATTGTACACACCAAACACAGCCCTACAATTGAAACAAATGTTGTTTAGCTTTATTCTTTTAAAAAAAACATTTCCATCCATTCTGCTTCCAAGCACACCTTTTCAAAAGAGCATTAAGCATCTCTGGCTCATCGTCAGTGTAGAATCCGGCACTTGTAGCTAGAGGCACACCAGTCAGTCACGGAGTCCTTGAGGAACAAATCCGGAGGCCAAAGAGTGGGTAAGGCCAGGCTTCCCCCTCAGACAGTCATTCAACGCACGGTAGCATCATTTGAGTTAAATACCTGGCCTGAAGGTCCTGCTCTTTGCCTCCATTCCTCAGCCCATGAAATCTGTCATGGCTGGGGTGCCAACCAGATGGTCGCTGAATATCTCCCGCTATTCCAACTGATCTCTAGATAACAGAGATCAGTTCACCTGGAGAAAATGGATGCTTTGGAAGGTGGCCTCTATGGCTTTGTACCCCACTGGATTCCTTCCCCTGCCCCAAACGCTGCTGCCCTCAGGCTTCACCCCCAAAATCCCCCAGGTATTTCCCAACCAGGAGCTGGCAGGCCTAGTCGTGGCATTTGGGGTGCGGGAAGTGAGAAGGGAAGAACAGCCGACCAAGAAGGTAAGAGGCAAAAAGGGAACATCTTATTTTATTTGGAGGCCTCTCTCTCAAGACATTTCATCTGTAGCCACAAAAAGAAAGGAAAACTTTTTGGGTAAGTAAAAAAGAGAAAGGCTGGAGAACACTAAAGGGTCACCCAGTTGGTGCAAAAACCTTGGCTTCCTGTCAGAATGAGGAACACCTTCGCGACCTGCACAGTTAAAAAAAAAAAGTGTCATTTCTTCACCCCTTTCTGAAGTGGGCCTACCTGGAAAGATGAAGATGAAGAAAGCGCTGATGCCACCAATGACGCTGATGATGTCACTGATGTCTGGCACAAAGAGGGCGATGATTAGCGTCACCATAACCCACATGGTGGTAAGCAAGATGCGGAGCCATTTCTCATAGGGCTCCATGGTCAGGATGGAGCAGTGCTTGGTGCCAAAGCAGATGTCCTGTAAGACTGACCTAGCAGAGAGAGATCATCGTTATACACCACCACAGCAGACAGTGTTGAGGTTTTTACTGCCAGTTTCAGGCTCCAGATGCTCAGAATGGAGAAATGTATTATCTTTTTAATTACCTTGGATTTCTATTACACTGGTACTTTTTATTGTTATTCTTACGGGGGGGGGGGACTGATTACTGTTATTCAATGTAGCTTTTCCATTTGCCCATCCATAGCCAGCGAATTCCTACCCCAACTCCAGGAATAAAGCAGCAGAGGGGGAAAGTAATGAGGCAATGTCACAGTGTCCACAATGCTCTAGGAGTTTCCCCAATCTCTGTGGTCTACGGGGGCTGTGACATCACATCCAGGTGATTGCCCAGAAGTGACATCACAGCATCGATGATACTACCTTCCCCTGGCCCTGCCTCTCAAAAGGCCCCATGATTACTAGTCACGGGCCCAGTAACCCTAATTCAATGGGTTGAATCTGTTAGCAGATTTGGGGGAAATAATCCAATCCTACACATGGAGAGTTGCTTTCAGCAGTTTTTTGCAACAACAGGACTTGCAAAATGCATCAGCTATCTACGTCTTCAGGATACAAAGTCTCTGAGCTGCTGGAAGGCCTAGCGACAGAACCTAGGCTAAGTTTCCCATCAGTAGGTCTGGAACTTTCCTGCCTCCCCATCATCCACTGCAGCCCACTGATCTCCAGGAAATGCTGCTTCCAGGGGATGGGAGCCCCACAGGGACAACACAAGGGAAAGCTACAGCAGGAAGGGGTAATTGGTGGTAACTTCAGTTAATAGAAAATTTAGTCTGGATCGAACTCAATATACGAACCTACTTAATATCAAGTAAGAATGCTGGCCCAACTGGTTCAGTATTGTTCTGACTGGCAGAAATTCTCATGCAGAGAAAAGCCTTCCCTCGTTTATGCTACTGGAGTGTTTACTTGTTTAATGAAATGAGATACCAGGGATTGAACCTAGGATTTACTCCATGCAAGGCTCTAACACCGAGTCGCGTCACCTTCCTAAACAGCAGCATTAGGACGTTTATCGGGGACACTGCCATTATATTCTCCATTTTACTTCCCAGCGATTACATGAGTAAATTTTCGATGGGTAGCTGTCAAATCTGTGCACTGTGAATTGAATAACTTTGGTCTCTGCTCATCACTTCTCTAAATACAAAGAGATTCTAGGGCGAGAGCTACAGTATTTGAATTGGATGCTGTCGGTGTCCAAGATAGGCCATTTATTTACAAACGCATCAGCAGAGCATACTGGAAGCAAACAGGTATTCTTAGAACAGGAAGCAAAACTGCTGACCCGGCGGCATCAGATTCATTACACCCGAAGTTACTCCACATCCAGCTGACTCACAGCTTTTGAACTCTTTTGGCTCTTTGAATCAAGTTCTTGACCCCAGGCTGTTTCTCTGCTCCTTCCAACTAGGTGGGAAAGTGTCACCTTTCCAACTTAGTGGGCTATGGATTCTACACGGTAGAGAGAGAGTCCAAGGAAAGCATCTCCTGTTGTTTTCCCTGTGATGAAACTTCAGTAGTCACCCTCAATTAGCAGAAGTCAGTCAGTCTTGAGAAAGGTCCTGACACTGCCAGTGAGTTATGCAAATGAAGCCCGTTTGTATACATTAGAGATGGAATGAATTGTGCCAGCTAGTTAGTCAAGAAGAGGGATGGGCACTGAAGAGGCACGGACACCCCGTCTCCCGGGCACTATAAATAGCCCTCTGGCCACCCTTTGACTTCAGAAATGTCACACGCTGTTATGTGCAGACTTTTAAACCTTCCTAAAGCTGCGGTGGCTCAAGTGGTTAAGACGCTGAACTGCAGGCTGTGGAAGGTCAGTAGTTCAGCAGTTCGAGACCTGAGTGTGCCGCAAGACGGGGTGAGCTCCCGTCTATAGTTCCAGCTCCTGCCAACCTAGCAGTTCGAAAGCAAGAAATTGCAAGCAGATAAATAGGTACCACTTCGGTGGGAAGGTAACAGCGTTCCGTGCACCTTGGTGTTTAGTCATGCCGGCCACATGACCACGGAAATGTCTTCGGACAGCGCTGGCTCTTCGGCTTTGAAACGGAGATGAGCACCGCAACCCTAGAGTCGGATTCGACTGGCTTTCAAGCAAGGGAACCTTTACCTTTATTTTTAAAGTCACAAATTGCTTGGCTTCTAGGTGCAACATGCTGGCTTGCGATTTACACAAGTTTCTACACTTTCTCCATCCTCTCGATGTCAAAGGACAGAAAGCCCAACTGACTTATTGCAAGGAATACCGAATCAGGCTGAATTCCACCCCCACCCTGGACTTACACGAGAGGCTTTTTGTTTGGCTTGACAGTCATCCTGTATAAATTTTGCCCGGCTTGCATTTTTTCACCTATGCCAGATCAGGTAACTTTTTCCCTTCCTCTCTTCCCCAGACTTAGCTACAGTGATCCATGCAGTGGTCATAGGGTTGCCAGCCTCCAGGTGGAGCTTGGGGATCTTCCGCTTTTACAACTGATCTCCAGCTGACAGAGATCAGCTCCCCTGGAGAAAATGGCTGCTTTGAAGGGTGGACTCTATGGCATGGTACCACGCTGAGGCCCCTCCCCTCCACAAACCCTGCCCTCTTCTGGATCCACCCCCAAAGTCTCCAGGTATTTTCCAACACAGACCTGGCAACCCTAAATGGTCGCCTCCAGGCTAGATTACTGTAACTTGTTCTATGCAGGGCGACCCTTGAGACTAACCCGGAAACTCCAGCTGATTCAGAATGGAGCGGCTCATGTTCTCACTGGAACATCATTAAGAGCCCATATTGCACCAATGCTCTGCCAGCTGCACTGGCTCCAGGTGAAGTACCGGATCAAGTTCAAGGTATTGGCTTTGACCTTTAAAGCCCTACGCAGTCTATCTAAGGAACTGTCTCTCTTGGTATCTCTGCCAGAGAGCTCTGTGCTCAACAGATCAAAATCTACTGGCAATCCCTGGCCCCAAGATATCCATCTAGCCTTGACCAAAGCCAGAGCCTTTTTGGCTCTTGGTGGGACGCTCTCCCAAGCAAGATCCAGGCCCTGCGGGACTTAAACCAATTCCACAGAGCCTATAAAATGGAGCTGTTTCACCAGGCCGATGGTTGAGGCAGTGGTAACCATCTAGTCTGGCCTCTTCCTATGTTTTCTCTCCCTAGCCCACTCATTTTGTTGTTATAGTATCTTAATATACACTGTTGCACCTGACACAAAACCCTTCTGGGCTGTATTAATTGTCTTGACTGTCTTATTGTTTTGGCTGCCATCTGATATTGTTTTAATTATCAATTTATATTTATTGCTCCAACTGTTTTATTGTTATTGCCGTTACCCGCTCTGAGCCTGCTCGCAGGGGAGGGGAGGATAAAAATCAAATAAACTAAACTACCTGCATCGTGCCGGGTGTTAAAGCGGAGGAGAATTGTGAACCTTACCTTCCCAGCAGAAGGACAATCGGGTAGATGGTGATGATAGAGACACCAAACAACAGCCGAGCTATGATGACCACCACGTCAGTCCCAGGGTAGGACATCAGGATATCAGCAGCAACATCAGCACCAAAAGTCAAATAGCCATACAGCCCTACACAGGAGACAGTCCCTTGTGCCTGTTAGGCAGAGCAATTAACCAGCTGAGGGAAGAGCTAGGAGAGTGAACCACTTATTACTTTAGCATAGTATATACAGACATATATGGGGCACAGCATTTCCTGGCAGTAAGAAACAAGGATGTTCAAGGACACAAGCATACCCCTAAACAGTGTTCCCTGTAAGCCAAGTTAGTGTGAGCTAGCTCACAGTTTTTTAGCCTCCAGCTCACACATTTTTGTCTTAGCTCAGGAAGGATGGCTCCAGAGCAAACTAATTCATGCAGTAGCCAAATCGCTCGCTCCCAACTTTAATGCCGGTAGCTCACAAAGTAGAATTTTTGCTCACAAGACTCCGCAGCTTAGAGGGAACATTGCCCCTAAATGTAGGGGGGCTACGCTTCCTGGCACATCTTCACCATATGCTTACAGAAAGATGTAGCCCTGTCAATGGGCCCGGCAGGGTCGTCAAATGCCACATACCAAATAAATACCCAAACCCCAAACACATTCAAATCTGCAACGAAAACAGCTAACAGCAAAGACCAAAGATGTTAATATGTTAAATGAGAATAAATTAGTTGCGTGTCTAGACATCAGGAAGGAGGAAACCTACATCAAGTCTCCATTCCTGTGTGGCTGTAGGTTTTTTTTTTGTATTTCAGGTTAGTATCCATCTCTGTGCTGGGGAAGAGAAGAAAGAGGAGGGAAAAACAGATAAAATATCAGCTCTTCCTCCAAGCTGGTGTTTATGGCACCACCCCCTCCCTTTTGCAAGCTTAGCTGATGGGGAATGAAACATCTCTCAGACAGAACACTGTATTAAAACAGCTCTTAAATCCAGTCCAATGTTTAGAGAAAAGAATGTCATAGATTGGCAGCTTGCCTTCTATAAAGGTAAAGTGTGCGGTGCAGTCTCAATCGACTCATGGTGAAGTCCTACCTCGCAGAGGTGGTTTGCAATAGCCTTCCTCTGCATAGCAACTCCAGTCTTCCTTGGCGATCTCCCATCCAAGTACCAACCCCACTTAGCTTCCAAACTCCACCAAGATCAGTCTAGTCTGGGCTGCTGTGTATATGCGTATTGCCTACTAGACGTTATGACCAAGCACTGGAAAATCCTTATTGTTTCACACTGCTTTTGTTTGCTGGGTTTCAATTTATATAGCACTTTTTAAATCCTAGAGGCTACAGTGGGTTAAGATGCTGGACTGCAGACCAGAAGGTCGGTAGTTCAGCAGTTCGAGATCCTAGTGCTGCATGACAGAGGGAGCTCCAGTCTCTGACCCCAGCTCCTGCCAACCTAGCAGTTCGAAAGCAAGAAATTGCAAGTAGATAAATAGGCACTACTTCGGTGGGAAGGTAACAGTGTTCCGTGCGCCTTGGTGTCTAGTCATGCTGGCCACATGACCACGGAAATGTCTCTGGACAGCACTGGCTCTTCAGCTTGGAAACAGAGATGAGCACCGCAACCCTAGAGAGAATCCTCCAAGGATTCTGTGTTAGCATACAGAGTCCACCCAATGAAGACTATATCCCCTTTTTACTCCATGAGCTCCATGGCCAAGTAGGGGAATCTGAACCCAGGTCTCCTCATTCCTAATCTGACATTCCCTGAAAAACTACCTATTCATGGAAGCCTGTTGCTCCCAAAAAATCAGACTCATCTACCTGCTGGAGAGCCAGCTTGGAGTAGTGGTTAAAAGCAGCAGACTCTAATCTGGAGAACCTGGTGTGATTCCCCACTCCTCCTCCACATGAAGCCAGCTGGTTGACCCTGGGCCAGTCACCATTCTCTCAGAACTCTCTCAGCCTCACCTGCCTCACAGGGTGTCTGTTGTGGGGAGAGGACAGGAGGGCAACTGTGAGCTGCTTTGAGACTCCTTCAGGTAGAGAAAAGCACGGTATAAAAACCCAACTCTTCTTCTACTGTCGAAGATTCAGCATTGAAAGAAAAAAACCACTCTCTACAAATGACTAATTTTGAAAATTCATACAGTGTTGCTGTTTTTTTATATAAAGTCCACCATGCAGTTCACAAGACAAGGGATAAAACAGGGGCCAACATCACCACAACACTAAATGTTGACTGAACACAAAAGCGGCACTGCCAGACGAAACACACACACAAAAATGCGAAAATACTTCCCAAGATATTGTTTTTACAAGGCTTGTTTTAGTTTTGCCCAATAGCTCTAGTAATATTTAGGTATAATAGCAAAGTCTGTTGCATTTTCTCAAACTTTTAATGGTATTTATATCATTAAAAGTTTGAGAAAATGCAACAAACTTTGCTATTATACCTAAACTAGCAGTAAAGCCCGTTGTGGAAATAAATACAGCAAGAGCTAGAAAGAGGCTTTGGGGGAGTGCTCTGGCTTTGGGCAAAAAGTGTCAATTTGCTGTGGTGGCCTCAGCAGGGTATAATGACAGAGTCCACTGTTTTCTCCAGAGGAACTGATCTCTGCTCCCTGAACAGCATTTGTATTTTTGAGTGATCTGTAGCCCTCACCTGGAGATTGGCAACAATTGTTACCCAGGATGAAATGGCTGGTTTGGAGGCTGGAGTCTATTTCATTCTACCTGTCTGAGGTCCCACCCCTCCGCAAACCCCACCCTCTCCAGGCTCCACCCCTCAAATCCCCAGGAATTTGCCAGCCTGGAGTTGGCAACCCCATCTCCTTCCCAGCTAACCATCAACCTACCATTATCTGCCCCATTGACTTCAGCTGACTTCCGCCCTCCCTTCTGCAGAGCAATTGTAATTTTGAGTGGTCTCCAGCCCTCACCTGGAGATTGGCAACAATGGTTCCCCATGAGGGACTGAGTGGTTTGGAGGGTGGAGTCTATGGCATTGTACCTGTCTGAGGTCCCACCCCTCCTCAAACCTCACCCTCTTCAGGCTCCATCCCTCAAATCTCCAGGAATTTCCCATCGGGAGTTGGCAACCCTATCAGGATTGGCCCCAATATGTTTTCTCCCAAAGGCCAAAGTAGGTGACTGGACCAAACTAAGTTGCCTACCATCAGGCACTGAGGGGAAAGTAGGGTTGCCAGCTATAAGGAGGGAAATACCTGGAGTTTTGGGGGGTGGATTCTGGAGAGGGCAG